AAAAAAAATCTGCTGTTTCTGGCCATTATCTTGTAGTATATTATGTTAAAATCTGAGAAATGGAGAGCGAAACAATGAAAAGAAAACAGAAGAATTAAGGCAACGAAACATATATACTTACCTTCTCCTTTAGATATGGAGAGATGGAGAAGAAATTGTGATCAGTCCAAATGAAGATAGAAACGATAGAAAATAGAAAGGAAATATACCTCGTGGGAGATGAAAACTGGAAGAATTTAAACCTCTTTGCAAGTTAATGACAGCACAAAGAGTTTGTGCAATAAAACAATATTGAGAAGTGGATCAACCAATAATGATAAACGGGAGCACTGGGAAGAGTAAATGGGTGCAAATATTAAATGAAATCATGCTTTAAAAAGAAACAAAAAAATATTTTATTAGTGCTAGTTTCAATAATTATGTTAAGTTTTCCTTTTCAACGGAATTGGCTGTAGAAGGAAGGGGGCTTGCACACGTGTTCTCCCAGACACCTGTCGAAGCAGCACTTGTCCAGGCCGCCGCACTTGAAGTCGCTGGAGCAGGTTACAGGTGCTCCACCGAAGCGTGTGGGTGGGCAGGTGGGACGGACTTGTGGGCAGTCGAGGGGCTTGGTGCCCACGGGGGCCTCGGGTTCAAAGACGGTCTCGCAGCAGTAGGCTTGTTGCTCTGGAGTTCGGCACCAGCGCCTGCATGTGGCGGGAGGGGCTGTGGCGCCGGGGAAGCCTCCGTGGGCTGAAACCACCGCCAGGACGCAGCACAGAATGACTCCGAGACCCTGCGAATTAGGAGGCTGTGTCAGGAGAGTTTGGAGACAATATGCATGGATATATGACCTTAGCTTTGTTCAGATTTGGAAATACAGATATAGATGAAGATATTCAAAATAAGAATATTTCCGGTGAATATTTCGCCTGTTTGAAATCATTGTTGTGTAAGTTTAAACAGCGTCATATTTTCTCTTTATCTTAAATGGAAAACAGCTTATCCTTTAGAGAAAAGGAATCCTCGAAGACACAAACATTTCCTCGCATTCCTCATGAATTAAGTAAATCAACATGAAGAAGATGCAACAGATTCGTACAAGATCTACCACAACCGCACCGCAGCCTCCGCCGCGCGTCCCAAAGCGCGAGGCAAGCACTCACCTTCATGCTGAAAGCGCGGGATGCTTGTGGGACTCGGAGGCTCGTCGTCGTCGCCTTATACGCGGCGCCAGACTGGCTCGCCGCTCTTCCTCGAACCTCGCGAGGAAAGCCCGAGTCGGAGAGAATTTTCCCAGAGTTCCTCGGCCCTTCGACGTCACGTGTGTGTGTGTGTGTGTGTGTGTGTGTTGTTTGTTCTTTTTTGACGATGTTAGGATCTTTAATATTTGGATGAGACTGGAACAAATGTGTGGATGCTTATGAAAAGAAATGTGTGTATATATGTATAAATATTTTATTTATTTAATTATTATTTTTTTTTATTTATTTATTTCTTTTTTATCGGCCCTTAATTAAACGTTATGTTCGTTTTCGCGGAACTTCTTTTTGGCGATGTTGGGATCTTTAAGGTTGGATGAGGTGGAAAATGATTGTATTATTTTCTTTATCATGGTTTGTTCACTTCCTCATTCTTATTTCCTGTCTCATTGTGGTTGTCTTACTCGTCTTGTCTTACAGATAATGGTTTGCTCACTGACTTATCTTGGCTTACCTTTTCATCCTCAATTGCTCACTTATGCCATTTACTCATCTGCTCTTGTATGCTGTCTTAGTTTACTCACATATCTTGTTTTGTTCCCATATTCCGATTTCCTCACTGACTCATTTTGTTTACTCAACACATTCTCATCCTTGTTAACACAAATATCGTTCAATTCCTTGATTTACTCACTGACTCATCTTCGTGTCCTCATCACACTCATCCTAAATTACTCACACCTCTTGGATTGCTCGCTCTTCTCGATTTACTCACTGACTCATCTTCGTGTCCTCATCTCAGGCTCAGTCATCTTCATATGCACACTGACTCAGCCCAGTTGACTCACCCATGTTGGTTTGTTCACTGACTCATCTTCGTCTGTCACTCATTCGTGTGGCGTCTTGTGGCAGCTTGGGTTTGATGGCAATTAAGCTTGGGAGTTTTGCGTCGCCTTCAGTTTCGAACAGAATAATTCAGTGATTCGTAAAGTGTGTTTATTGACTAAGAATTAATTCAGTGATTCATAAAGTGTGTTTATTGACTAAGAATTAATTCAGTGATTCGTAAAGTGTGTTTATTGACTAAGAATTAATTCAGTGATTCGTAAAGTGTGTTTATTGACTAAGAATTAATTCAGTGATTCGTAAAATGTGTTTATTGACTAAGAATTAATTCAGTGATTCGTAAAGTGTGTTTATTGACCAGGAATTCCTCTTGGATCAGAGGCCCGTGTTGGGTTGATCCACATTTTCCCCGTCATGGTCCTTTACAATGTGTATATTTATTTTTTCAGCGTCGATTTTTATTCCTGGGTTTCAGTGGAGAATTTCAGTCAATATTTTTTGAAACGGTTATTTATATACTAATCACTTTTAACTTGAATTTAAGAGGTAAAGGATGATCTTTGCCAGTATTGCTGTTGGCGTCGAGTTCCATCTTTTTTTTATGAAATAATAAGTCGTTAATAACAGTTCTTGATTTTATTATTATCAATATAAATATTTTTATAAATACATATTTTTCCTGTTTTTCTTTTAAGCGTAGGTGCTACCAAAGAGCGTGGTGTATATTTGTTAATTAATTGATACATGTTTATGGATGAGCGCCAGTGTTTGTTATTTGACGTCTTTGTAATTTCTTTCTGAAGAATAAACAATATGTACTTCAGTTTTTGTTTTTTTTTATCACATACAATTCCTAGGTAGAAACTAGGCCTTGCAAAAAAACATAACTAAAAAAGCTGTATATTTTTAGAATTGAAAAGTAATATGAAATGAAATGCGGCTAAACTAAGACCAATGTAGTGTTTCCAATGAAAAAGTGACAATCATATTCACCAAAAAACAGCAAGAGAACCTGATCCAGTACCAAAGATTAATTAGATACCAAAACACCTTAGATGAAAGATTAATTTTACGGACGCATCTGTGATTTCCCTTCCAGTGAGCAGTTCATTTACTCAAATTCCTCCATAAACCGGAATATCGCTACAGGAATAAGGATATGGCTGAGGGACTTTCCGAAATAGTAAATTGATATAACGGAAGTTAACAGATTAAACACTTTCGTATAACGCTTTGATATAACCTTCTACAGTCAAAATAATCTGAACTAATCTGACATTATCCCTTGTAATCCATTAAAGGTGCGGGTGAAGGGGAAACACATACGAAATATTATATAACTCATTGCATATTTTAGTATGTTATGGTCTAACTAGAGAGAGGCAGAGTAATACAATATGAGATATTGTGTATAGCCAGTGAGAAGAATGTTACTCATTCCTCTCTGGAACAGAATTGTCTAGACAGAAGGAGATAGAGGAAGAGTGAGTTAGTATGGATAGAATGCGATAAAAATAACGGAAAGTTAAAATATAATCATGTAGGTTATTGCTTATTCATTAAGAGAAGCAGAATAAATTAAAATTACCTAAATTAACTAACAGAGAAATGACTAAATCAGACTGTAAAGAGAATAAGATGAGTAAGCAAAACAAGGCCAGTAAATGAGTGACCAAAGATAAGTTAGTGACATATGAGCTAGAAACGAAAAGGGACGAAGTGAATAAACAAAGGTTAAGATAAACTCCCAAAGAGAGAGAGAGAGAGATAGAACGAAAAAGGTAAACCAAAGTGATTGAATGAGTAAACAAAAATTGTTAAAAGGGAGCACAATGATGAGTGATAGGGTACATCCAATAAAAAAATGAGGGTTTTTGAAAACATTTATTAGTCATGGACACTACATGGATGAATAAATACGGTGAGTTTTCAACGGAATTGGCTGTAGAAGGAAGGGGGCTTGCACACGTGTTCTCCCAGACACCTGTCGAAGCAGCACTTGTCCAGGCCGCCGCACTTGTAGTCGCTGGAGCAGGTTACAGGTTGTCCACCGAAGCGTGTGGGTGGGCAGGTGGGACGGACTTGTGGGCAGTCGAGGGGCTTGGTGCCCACGGGGGCCTCGGGTTCAAAGACGGTCTCGCAGCAATAGACTTGTTGCTCCGGAGTTCGGCACCAGCGCCTGCATGTGGCGGGAGGGGCTGTGGCGCCGGGGAAGCCTCCTTGGGCTGAAACCACCGCCAGGACGCAGCACAGAATGACTCCGAGACCCTGCGAAATAGGAGTGTCAGTAAAGATTTTGGAGTCAGCGTGCATGAATATGACACTGGTTTTGTCTAAAATTAGACAAAATTAAGTTAAAAACTGAGACTTTCACAGGTGATAATTAGCCTGTTTTCATTTAGTTAGTTTTAAGAGTTAGTACTAATACATGAGGGATAAAAGAGCCTCATCTTTTCTTTACTATATTGAATGACATTTAGCTATCTCTTTAGATATATATATATATATATATATATATATATATATATATATATATATATATATATATATATATATGATGCACCAGATAGATTTACCACAATTATATCACAGCGTCCTTTGTCTGCCTAAAAGCAACATGCAACCACTCACCTTCATGTTGAATGCGATAGAAGTAAGTGTAGCTTCGGTAGTTGTTAATCCTCCTTATATACCCGTCCGACTGGCTTGGCTCCTCCCCCTTCTCCGAACCTCGTGACGTAAGCCTGAGTTTTCCAAGTGCTTCCAGCCGCTTCGAACCGCTTCCAGTTCTGACCGTGATTTGGCAATATTAGCCTTTAATGATGTTAGGATGTTGAATGGGACAGAGAGACGGGTAAGGGTTCGCGAGGAGGAAGTTTTGAAAAGATTTCATGAATATGTAAGGAGAAAGGACGTGTGAGAGAGTGTGTGGATAAAAAAAAATCGTATATAGAAAGAAAGAGTAAACATTCAAACATATATATATATATAAACATATATATAAATATGGAATATCAGACAAGAGGAGATAGATGGAGAAAGGACGGAATGATAAGAAAGCAAGGGGAATAAGAGGGAAGTAAGAAAGTTAAGAGAAATATGGAATGGTGGATTATAACAAAGGAAGGGTGGGTGTTGGTTGCCATATATAGTTATATACATTCCCCATTGCTCCTTCTTAATTCAATCACCTACTCATCTCGAATTACTCATTTATTCACCTTGATTTATTCATAAATGTTGCTTTATATACTCACTAATCTTGTTTTTTTTTTTTTTTTTTTACTATATTTAGTTTACTCTTTCGTCTCCTTTTCTCTATTTACAGGTCGTTTTACTCACTAACAGCTCTTAATTTACTCATTGATTTGTTTATTTATCCTTGATTCGCTCCCTGATTCATCTTAATATACTCACTTACTCATTTTAGTTATCTCATTCATCTTCATATGCTGATTATTTATCCGAGTTTATTCATACAGATTCAAATACTCATCCTTTTGTTTAGCTCACTCCTCTTGATATATTCACTGACTTATCTCAGTTACTCATCTCTATACCCTCATCTCCATATTGTAGTTCACTCACCAATCTCTGTTAGTTCACTTCTCTTTATTTCCTCACTGACTCACTTTAGTGTATTCATCCTCATATACCCACTTACTCAACTAAGTTTACTAATTCTGTGTGGTTTACTCATTCACTGATTCATCTAGGTGTACAAATTTTCATATGAATACTTACTCAGATAAGTTTACTCACATTTTTTTTTTTCTCTCTCATTTAACCCTCTTGATATTCTGATTTACTCACCTTTGTTTATCAGTGTAACATTGCATATGATTCGCTTACTCATATATTATAATTACTCGTTACTTAGTTACATTTACTCGTTACTTACATTTCTTTGTGTTTATATTGTTTTCCTCATCTACCTCTCTGGGCTTATTCATTTATTCTGGTTGTTATTCATTTCAATTTACGCATATACCTATCTCACTCTCGTATAACCTACCCTTCGTAATTATTCATCAGTCTTCCTCTCCGTTTTCTTTCCTCTCATACTCATCCTGTTGTTGTCTTTACTTCGCATAACTCTGATCTCTTTTCACTATTTTTTTCCTTATCTACGATCTCCCCCCCCCTCCCCCACATTCTTTCATATTTTATATATTCATAAATATATATATATATACATTTCTCTTCACAATCATCCCATTCTTCCCTTTATATATTCATAAAAAATATACATATATATACACATTTCTCTTCACAAGCATCCACACATTTGTTCTAGTCTCATGCAAATATTAAAGATCCTAACATCGTCTAACACACTCACACAAACACACACACACACACACACAGACACACACACACACACACGTGACGTCGAAGGGCCGAGGAACTCTGGGAAAATTCTCTCCGACTCGGGCTTTCCTCGCGAGGTTCGAGGAAGAGCGGCGAGCCAGTCTGGCGCCGCGTATAAAGCGCCGACGACGAGCCTCCGAGTCCCACAAGCATCCCGCGCTTCCAGCATGAAGGTGAGTGCTTGCCTCGCGCTTTGGGACGCGCGGCGGAGGCTGCGGTGCGGTTGTGGTAGATCTTGGATGAATCTGGTGCATCTTCTTCAATTTGATTATTTAATTCATGAGGAATGCGAGGAAATGTTTGTGTCTTCGAGGATTCCTTTTCTCTAATGGATAAGCTCTGTTCTACATTTAAGATAAAGAGAAAATATGACGTTTTTTTTTTCTTTTAAACATAATATCAATACTGAATTCAAACTGGCGAAATATTCACCGAAAATATAGTTATTTTGAATATCTTCATCTATATCTGTATTTCCAAATCTGAACAAAGCTAAGGTCATATATCCATGCATATTGCCTCCAAACTCCCTTGACACAGCCTCCTATTTCGCAGGGTCTCGGAGTCATTCTGTGCTGCGTCCTGGCTTTAGTTTCCCAAACGGAGGCTTCCCTGGTGGCCTTCCCGGCTTCCCGGCGCCACAGCCCCTCCCGCCACATGCAGGCGCTGGTGCCGAACTCCGGAGCAACAAGCCTACTGCTGCGAGACCGTCTTTGAACCCGAGGCCCCCGTGGGCACCAAGCCCCTCGACTGCCCACAAGTCCGTCCCACCTGCCCACCCACACGCTTCGGTGGACAACCTGTAACCTGCTCCAGCGACTACAAGTGCGGCGGCCTGGACAAGTGCTGCTTCGACAGGTGTCTGGGAGAACACGTGTGCAAGCCCCCTTCCTTCTACAGCCAATTCCGTTGAAAACTCACCGTATTTATTCATCCATGTAGTGTCCATGACTAATAAATGTTTCCAAAAATCCTCATTTTATTTATTAACTTTTTTGTTTACTCATTCAGTCACTTTGGTTTACCTTTTTGGTTCTCTGTCTCTCTCTCTCGTTTACTTGTTTTTGGATTACAATTTATGTTCTCCTTTATTTACTCACTTCGTCACTTTTAGTTATTAGCTCATATGTCACTAACTCATCTTGGGTCACTCATTTACTAGCCTTGTTTTGCTTACTCATCTTGTTTTCTTAGTCTGATAGTTAATTCAGTAGGTCATTTTAATTTACTCTGCTTCTCTTAATGAATAAACGATAACTTACATGATTATATTTTAACTTTCCGTTATTTTTATCGCATTCTATCCATACTAACTCACTCTTCGTCTATCTCCTTCTGTCTAGACAATTCTATTCCAGAGAAGAATGAGCAACATTCTTCTCACTGGCTATACTCACTATCTCATTTTGTATTACTCTGCCTCTCTCTAGTTAGACCATAACATACTAAAATAAGCAATGAGTTATATAATATTTCGTATGTGTTTCCCCTTCACCCGCACCTTTAATGGATTACAAGGGATAATGTCAGATTAGTTCAGATTATTTTGACTGTAGAAGGTTATATCAAAGCGTTATACAAAAGTGTTTAATCTGTTAACTTCCGTTATATCAATTTACTATTTCGGAAAGTCCCTCAGCCATATCCTTATTCCTGTAGCGATATTCCGGTTTATGGAGGAATTTGAGTAAATGAACTGCTCACTGGAAGGGAAATCACAGGTGCGTCCGTAAAATTAATCTTTCATCTAAGGTGTTTTGGTATCTAATTAATCTTTGGTACTGGATCAGGTTCTCTTGCTGTTTTTTGGTGAATATGATTGTCACTTTTTCATTGGAAACACTACATTGGTCTTAGTTTAGCCGCATTTCATTACATATTACTTTTTCAATTCTATACAGCTTTTTTAGTTGTTTTTTGCAAGGCCTAGATTCTACCTAGAATTGTATGTGATAAAAAGAAAAAAAAAAAAAACTGAAGTACATATTGTGTTTATTCTTCAGAAAGAATATTACAAAGACGTCAAATAACAAACACTGGCGCTCATCCATAAACATGTATCAATTAATTAACAAATATACACCACGCTCTTTGGTAGCACCTACGCTTAAAAGAAAAACAGGAAAAAAAAATTATTTATAATAATATGTATACTGATAATAATAAAATCAAGAACTGTTATTAACGACTTATTATTTCATAAAAAAAAAAGATGGAACTCGACGCCAACAGCAATACTAGCAAAGATCATCCTTTACCTCTTAAATTCAAGTTAAAATTGATTAGTAAGCAAATTACCGTTTCAAAAAATATTGACTAAAATTCTCCACTGAAACCCAGGAATAAAAATCAACGCTGAAAAAATAAATATACACATTGTAAAGGACCATAACAGGGAAAATGTGGATCAACCCAACACGGGCCTCTGATCCAAAAGGAATCCCTGGTCAATAAACACACTTTACGAATCACTGAATTAATTCTTAGTCAATAAACACACTTTACGAATCACTGAATTAATTCTTAGTCAATAAACACACTTTACGAATCACTGAATAATTCTGTTCGAAACTGAAGGCGACGCAAAACTCCCAAGCTTAATTGCCATCAAACCCAAGCTGCCACAAGACGCCACACGAATGAGTGACAGACGAAGATGAGTCAGTGAACAAACCAACATGGGTGAGTCAACTGAGCTGAGTCAGAGTGCATATGAAGATGACTGAGCCTGAGATGAGGACACGAAGATGAGTCAGTGAGTAAATCGAGAAGAGCGAGCAATCCAAGAGGTGTGAGTAATTTAGGATGAGTATGTGATGGATGACCAAGATGAGTCAGTGAGTAAATCAAGGAACTGAACGATATTTGTGTTAACAAGGATGAGAATGTGCTGAGTAAACAAAATGAGTCAGTGAGGAAATCGAATGTGAGCAAAACAAGATATGTGAGTAAACTAAGACAGCATACAAGAGCAGATGAGTAAATGGCATAAGTGAGCAATTGAGGATGAAAAGGTAAGCCAAAATAAGTCAGTGAGTAAACCATTATCTGTAAGCGCGTAAGACAAGACGAGTAAGACAACCACAATGAGACAGGAAATAAGAATGAGGAAGTGAACAAACCATGATAAAGAAAATAATACAGATGGGTGAGTAAACTAAGATGAATAAAAAAGGTAAACTGAGATGAGAATGGCTTTAAACCAAGATGAATAAACCATGGTAAATAAGTCATAAGTAAAATAGTAAACTAAGATGGATAAAGAGAAAGGATAACTGAGTAAGCCAAGTATATGAATAAGTGAACTAAATGGGATGAGAGTATCCAAGAAGAGTAAATGGAACACGAAGAGTAAACCAAGATGAGTAAATAAACCTAAGATGAGTGAGAACATCAAAACAAGAGACGGAAAATGCTTGTGACTCACACACACACGCCGTGCATTCCATTCTTTGTTGTTTTACTCACTTTCTCTTCCTCTTCGTTCTCTTTCTCCTCACTCGCGTCCTCTCTCATCCTTTTGTATCCCTTACTTCACATGCCTTTTGTCTCTTCTTCTATTCATTTCTTATCCACGATTTCCTTAACTATGATACCCCCCCCCCCCCCCCCCACCACCACCACCCCCAAACACACTCTTTCTCTTTATACATTTATGAAATCTCTCGAAAACCTTCCACCTGCGTCCACTCATTTTCCACCTCATCCAACCTCAAAGATCCCAACATCGCCAAAAAGAAGTTCCGCAAAAACGCACGTAACGTTTAAGGGCCGATATTATATATAATATATATATATATATATATATAATATATAATATATATATATATTATATATATATATATACACACATATATATACACATTTTTTTTCATAAGCATCCACACATTTGTTCCAGTCTCATCCAAATATTAAAGATCCTAACATCGTCAAAAAAAAGAACAAACAAACACACACACATCGAAGGGCCGAGGAACTCTGGGAAAATTCTCTCCGACTCGGGCTTTCCTCGCGAGGTTCGAGGAAGAGCGGCGAGCCAGTCTGGCGCCGCGTATAAAGCGCCGACGACGAGCCTCCGAGTCCCACAAGCATCCCGCGCTTCCAGCATGAAGGTGAGTGCTTGCCTCGCGCTTTGGGACGCGCGGCGGAGGCTGCGGTGCGGTTGTGGTAGATCTTGGACGAATCTGGTGCATCTTCTTCATGTTGATTTATTTAATTCATGAGGAATGCGAGGAAATGTTTGTCTCTTCGAGAATTCCTTTACTCTAAAGGAGGAGCTGTTTTACATTTAAGATAGAGATATTATGACGATTTTTTAACTTCAACATTGATTTCAAACAGTTGAAATATTCACCGGAAATATTCTTATTTTGAATATCTTCATCTATATCTGTATTTCCAAATCTGGACAGAGTTAAGGTCACAAATCCATGCATTCTGCCTCCAAACTCTCCTGACACAGCCTCTTAATTCACAGGGTCTCGGAGTCATTCTGTGCTGCGTCCTGGCGGTGGTTTCAGCCCACGGAGGCTTCCCCGGCGCCACAGCCCCTCCCGCCACATGCAGGCGCTGGTGCCGAACTCCGGAGCAACAAGTCTATTGCTGCGAGACCATCTTTGAACCCGAGGCCCCCGTGGGCACCAAGCCCCTCGACTGCCCACAAGTCCGTCCCACCTGCCCACCCACACGCTTCGGTGGACAACCTGTAACCTGCTCCAGCGACTACAAGTGCGGCGGCCTGGACAAGTGCTGCTTCGACAGGTGTCTGGGAGAACACGTGTGCAAGCCCCCTTCCTTCTACAGCCAATTCCGTTGAAAACTCACCGTATTTATTCATCCATGTAGTGTCCATGACTAATAAATGTTTTCAAAAACCCTCATTTTATTTATTGGATGTACCCTATCACTCATCTCTGTGCTCCCTTTTAACAATTTTTGTTTACTCGTTCAATCACTTTGGTTTACCTTTTTCGTTTTTTTCTCTCTCTCTCTCTTTTACTTGTTTTTGGATTAGAGTAATATTTAGATAATAATAGAGGTAATAATTAGAGGTAAAGACTCACTCTCGTTTACTTGTTTTTGGATTAGAGGTCACTTCGTCCCTTTAGTTTTAGCTCATATGTCACTATCTCATCTATCTTGGTTCCCTGATTTTTTTTCTTTATTTATTTATCTATTTAGTTAGTTAGTTACTTATCTGTCACTGTTCCTTGATTTTTTTTAGTTCGCATATTCTATAACTTTGGTTCCCTGATCTTTTTTTCTTCTTCTTCTTCTTCTTCTTTTTCTTCTTTTGTGTTTGGAGTTTAGGCTCAATTACTCACTTCATCGCTCTTAGTAACCAGCTCATATGCCACTAATTCATCTGAAGTCACTCCTTTACTGGTCTTGCTCTGCTTATTCCATGATTTAGTCATTGTTTTTTAGTTGATTCCGTAGGTCACTTTAGTTTACCCAGCATCTCTGAATAAGCGATTAGATGCATTTTAATATTATATATATATATATATAATATCTATTCAAATGTCTTGTTACAGTACTGCAAAAATATGTTTGGATCAATTTTAATATAACTAATGATATTCTCTGTTGGGAGATTTTGAAATATAAACAAAGTACATGACAATGAATTCTTATAAGATTTATTCCAAAAATAGAGTCGCCACCACCAGGAATTTTGGGCTTTAACGAAACCCCGAGATAACCCACTTTTGATTTGCTTTAAGATGTTATGAGTAGCATGACTTAATAAAGCTCGTGGGATGGCTCTCTTAATTGTGTGCTAAAGGTACAATCAGTCATAGAAACATAACTAACTTCTGTTATTCTTTTGATCATATAGAAATTATGTTGCATATTACAATGCTTTTTTTTAACTATTAGCAACTACAGATATAAGAATATTCATTTTCTACCAAATCATTTTACAATTTTACACCCTCCCTTCTACCCATTATAAATCAATAATAAACACAAAATAGATATAATATAAATAAAAGGGAAACAGGAAGGAGACAGCCAACAGTTTGGCAGAAAAGGAGTAGAACTGTTTTGACACTAATTTTCCCAACCAGTAGTACTCAGTGGCAACAATCCAATGTATATGGATTCGTTTCTCTCTGAATTCAATTATCCGGCATTGGAATATTCAACTTCCAGGTAAAAAGGCTTTCATATCCAGTACTGATACACACCTGAAGCAGGATGAGTCTTGATCCATCTGTAGAAGGTCAGTGCTCCCACACCCTGTTTACCCCTGTGACGTCCTCCCCCATTTAGTTGTGAAACAATATAAGCAACTCAGTTATTCATAGATATTTTAAATAACTGTCTTCGTTTACTAGTTCTAAGATGAAATTTTGCTATATTCTTATGCCTTTAAAAGAAAATTATGTAAATAAACATTTCGTTCGGGTTTTGTAATTCTGTCTTGCTCTATTATTTTCCCATTTTGGAATGTACCTCAGTCACATTGCCGTTTATGGATGATTTTGAGCAAATGGTTAATTCAGAGGAACCAAAATCACCAAAGCATCAGCAAATTTACTCTTTTATTCATTTAAGATGAAGGTAAAATATCTTCACCTTAGGCAGAAGTCAGATTTCTTTGTTCTGTTAACCCTTGCAACTAACAATGCTACTTTTTTTTTCTTTTTACCCGGAGTTCATTTCATATTATTTATAAAAATATTGGTTTATTATTTGATCTTATTATTTTTATATTATTTATTTTATGTATTTTTATCACCCACAATTTCAAAACGCATGTGCACTAGACATAGTTTAATTTATTTTATACCACACAATAAAAACTTATTTCCCGTTAATATTTTTACATTGAGTATCAAAACAAAAGTATCAGTACGCGCCATTACAGTTAATTCCTTATTAAGTTTAATCCAGAGTTCTAGTACGCGTCCAGGATCAACTGTTGATACACCTCTGGACTTGCATTAACATTTAAGCTCGAAATTTAATCCTGCACTTGCGAAGAACGAGCTAATAGACCCTGCCAATCATGCACTGATATGTAATAAATCATCATCAACATAGAAAAGATGGAGTCTGACAATCAAGTGTATACACATACAAACACACACACGCATATATGTATATATGCATTCATCTGTAATTTTGTGTATAATGTTTCCCATAGGTGCATTAATTTGAACCATGATCAAATTAGTACAGTAACGGTCAAAACTCTTGTCAAATATGTTTCGAATTCCGTCTCGAACATCCCTTAATACCACACTTTATGTATAGGGTAAGACTGATTCGAAGCTTCATGTTATTAAAAAAAAACTTTTTGTCCGTTACTGTACGCAAGTAGAACTCGGCGGTATATACACATGTTACATAATCGATCAAAAGTGTTACGTAATCATGAATGGCACTTGCTGAATGGGGTAATTCACCAGAGCACCAAGATTGCCCTCTACCGGCTACCTTCGCAACCAGGGCTGGCTCCTTTTCCATAGCATTTCTGCCGTTTTCTAAGCATTATATGATAAAGAAAACGGATGTAGATCATTAAATTGAACCATATACTATCATAAACGCATAAATTCTAGATTATAGTTACAGTACGTAGGCTCAGAGTCTGATGATTATAGGATTCCCCATGTTACTTTCTAGTTTATTGCATTTCCTAAAGCAATATACAATAAATCAATTATTAAGCCAATAACGTAATAACGTTTAATGACATAAGATGGACCTGCATCTCTTTATAGAAAACGTATTAGATGTGTAACTTTAGAAAATGCAACATTGAACCTATAAACTTGATTTAGCTAAAAAGTATACGACTATCCATAGTGTCTTGCAGGGCTGAAGGTCGAAAGTCAGTCTATGGGACTGTGGCTCTGCCTTTGATGATGACCCGCTGGAAAACCCAGCTGAAGTGACATCGGATGAAATTTCCAAGGCGATTACGTTCAGTCTAACCCCGTCGTATCAGTTCCTACCAGGATGGTTTCAGCAATTTTCATGGTTAATTCATCTGAACATGGGAATATCCCAATATTGCTTTTAACACTTTTCATTTGCATCGAGCCACCTGTAATCCTGAAAACAACAAAACTAAAACCAACGGAAAAAAAATCCGTAGTAACGTCTCCATCCGTTGGTCGACATTTTGATTCCATTCAGCAGATGAATTTCCGTAGATTTCCATCCCTCGCAACTAAAGTGGTTAAGTTGATTTACGCTAGTTGCTCTTGAAAGGCGAATTACCATCTCTATGTGAATCCTACTTTACCACCGCTGGTAAACGAGCAGGTAAATGCCATACGGATGTATGGTATGTATGGATGTTTATTGCGTACGTGAGTGTGACGTCACATGTCATGGTCCAATTTTATTTGATTTTTTTTTGTTTACACGTTTTTCTGTTTTGGCGTCAAAAAAGTATTAGGCCTATCCTGTTTACCTTTTTCCTCGATTTCTGGATTTTTTTTTTCACTTTTTTATTCTTATCAAAGTTCACATGTCATCACGTGCATACTAAGGAGGAAATAACTTGGATTCTCCTGATCTTAAATATGTATTGATGAGTCTAAAATTGGTTAATGAGTACGAAAACGGCGAAAGATAAAGATTAAGAATACAAGTTGAAGAAGATAAATGATAATAATAAAAAAGAAGAAATGATAATAATAATAATAATAAAAAGAAGAAATAATGATAATAAATAAATAAATAAAAAGTCGATGAACTGAAAAGAGAGGGTGAAATGGTGAGTTCAGCGAGATGTGAAAAAAATGCTAATAAATTTATACAAAGGTGAATACTTTAACGACAGTTAATACAGTAAAACCAATAGATTACTATTTAAAGTTATAAGGAAACCAAGATAGGTGATCAAACCTAGACCAGGATATGATTATCCATGATGAGTAAATAAAGAGGATTGAGTAAAAGATGAGCTTAAAATCCAATTCCCCGAATAATGGACCAGGACACCAAGATGAAAGAGTAAATTAAGTTGATAAGATGAGTAAACCAAGGTGAGCGAGTGGATAAGCCAAAATAAGTGATCGAGAATTCCACAATGAGTAAATACATGTAAACATTCAATGAAAATGATGGACTCATCTTTGGACTAACACTTTATTAGTCATGGGTTCTACACGAATCAGTAATTCCTTCCTGATTCCCTTCTCAACCGAACTGGTTGTAGAAGGAAGGGGGCTTGCACACGTGTTCTCCCAGACACCTGTCGAAGCAGCACTTGTCCAGGCCGCCGCACTTGAAGTCGCTGGAGCAGGTTACAGGTCCTCCACCGAAGCGTGTGGGTGGGCAGGTGGGACGGACTCGTGGGCAGTCGAGGGGCTTGGTGCCCACGGGGGCCTCGGGTTCAAAGACGGTCTCGCAGCAGTAGGATTGATGCTCTGGAGTTAGGCACCAGCGCCTGCATGTGGCGGGAGGGGCTGTGGCGCCGGGGAAGCTTCCGTGGGCTGGAACCACCGCCAGGACGCAGCACAGAATGACTCCGAGACCCTGAGAGTTAGGAAAGTGTGTCAGGAAATAGTTCAGAGCCTACACACGTAGCTGAATTACAGAGGTTCTATAGATAATGAAACACATAGAGATAAATAGGCTGTTTTACGTGCAATTTCTTTTCGTTCATGCATCCCGGGAAGGATTTCATAACTGTTCCCTTTGTATTTGAATCAATTGCAAGAAAGCAAAATGGCCAAGCCTTTATTCTGCTAGTTATCTAAATTCAAGCATGTTACAAAAATACAAGAAATCCTTGTAAGAAGAAACAATCCTAAGCCAGTAGTGTTCTAGTCAAAGCCACAAGGATTTAAATTTACTATAATACATATAATCTAGTGAAAAACTGAAGCCAGAAAATCGTAATCAATCAAGTTTAACATCATGAGGGTCAAAGTTTCATTATATATTCCTTTTACGTATTACATCGATTGCAAGTAAATACGTATCCTCTAACATAATCTTAACGTAATCTTTCACATAAAGAATTTATTTTGAATGAATTTATTTATCAAGCTATTGCATTTTATTTTTCATATTTCATTTATTGATATTTATACGAAGTGTTCAGTAGATGCGCTTAAGTATGCAAATGATTAGTTATTCTTTCATTGAATTTAATCTTACTTCCGTGATGAGACAAAGTGTATGCATTAATTTACCATATAAACCTAACAGAAAGGTATAATCATAACCAGTGAAATAATGATGTAATAATAAATATAATAATAAATAATGTAGTAATAAATAATGAATGATAAATTGTGTTATCCATTTCTGCCATTATGCGCAGGAATACAGCCTCTCTGTCATGCAATCTTAAAGACAGTATAAAATTCAGAGGCTCATGCATTATATGTATAAAAATATGAAATATGAATATAAATGAATACATAAATAGATACATGTGCGTGCGTGTGTTACACACACACACATACATATATACATATATAATATATACATATGTATGTGTGTATGTATATATATATATATATATATTATATATATTAATATAGCTAATTTCTATATATTCCAAAATGGCACAGGGATGTCCTCAGTATCTACATACTTATATAGACCTAATGTTTACAACAAGCTACAGATCAACGCGTTTCTAAAATTAATCCTTATGAATAATTTTTCAGGGGGGTGACTTTTACGGGGGGGGGGAGTGCAAACCTACAATTAAATATCAGGATGGATTTCAACATGCCCAGGGGATATTGTCCAAGGGTTAAACCATGTTATACTCTATATTCATGTTATACTCTGTATTTCATGTTATACTCTATATTTCATGTTATACTGTATATTCATGTTATACTGTATATTTCATGTTATACTCTATATTTCATGTGTTATACTGTATATTCATGTTATACTGTATATTTCATGTTATACTCTTATTTCATGTTATACTCTGTATTCATGTTATATTATATATCATGTATACTCTATTTCATGTTATACTCTGTATATTCATGTTATACTGTATATATCATGTTATACTGATATATTCATGTTATACTCTATATCTCATGTTATACTCTGCATTTCATGTTATACTCATATTTTCTGTCTGATAGATTCTAAATTTG